TTGCCCATGCCATGGTTAAACTGTCACCATAAAAATACCATTCTCAATGGCATCGGCAAAGGAACTGTTTAACACTCTTAACTGTTATACAAGTGTAAAATAATTTTGTCACTGTAAAACAACAGTCCTACTTTTGACACCAAGTGATGTCAAATGTGGTGTTGTCAGTGGAGTCTGATCTCAAAATGACCAAAAACAGTCAAAGAAAAAGCTAAATACACCCCACAGCTCTTCTCTTGTTACAAGCTGACCCCAGGGTTCTTCGCAGTCATCTCGCATTCCGACTGATACTTTGTGCAACTCTTGCAGGTGGTTTTCCTAAAAAGAACATTGCTATCTTCCACGTCTGAGGTTCCACTGTACTCAAATATGAACAATAATGCCACTAAACACATTTATGTGACTTACCTGTGTGTTATCATGAATAGGAGGACCATGCACACATACACTCAGCCTTAGAACCCAAAGACTCGCTTTAGTACTCTATTTGCACTGAGCCTTAGATTATATGTAACTTCATGTTCTAATATTTACAGCCAAATTTGCAAGATTCCATTTTCTACTGGACCTGGAAAATGTTAATCTTGCTCGTGTTTTTCAGCGTCTGTCGCCGGTTGCAGAACCAAACCCGCACCACCTCTCGGTCGTAATTCAGCTCCTTTGCGATTTCCGTGATCTCCTGGCCTGTCGGCAGTGAGTTCTTCTCGAAGTAGGAGTTGAGGACTTCGATTGCTTGAGGCGTAAAACTGGTGCGCCGCTTGCGTTTCTTCGACGGCTCGCCGCCGACAAATTCCATCAGGTTCTGCTGGCCCTTCTGGTTCCAGTGCTCGGCCTCGGCAAGCCACTTCTCCAACACTGGCTTCAACTTCTGAGCACTCTTCGGGGTGATGTCCAGCTTTTCAAATCTGCAGCAGACAGATTTTTCATTCAACAAATCAACACAGACCTTTTTTCGGACTCTGAACAATGAAAGTTTTTTTTTTTGTTTGTTTAAAAAAAAAATTACAACATTTGCATTAACGTTGCTGTAGGAAGGATGAAGGACAAAAATGATCCTCTGTGTCCTTGTGTGACTTGACATTTAATATTTAAAAAATGAATACATACAGTATTTAATAGGTTTAATAATACTGTTCACAATTTTATGATACAGTCAGTGCCAAAAGTCACTGTGACGTAACTCTAGATGATGAAAAGACAGCAGTACTGTATTGTTACAAACATGAAAGCCATAAAAAAAAAAAAAATTAACATTTAGATAAAAAATGTTGACCCTAATACAATTTTCGCCTATGACCATGCATATTACATTACTTGCACTACTGCGCTACTCAAGCATGATTTCATCATAAGTACATGATATCAGTGATTATCAATAATTGGTGGGGCCAACATTAAGTTGCGTAGAACTCAAAGCATGAGCTCAACAAAGCATGATGTTACAGTTACATCGAGATGACCCAGACTGTTGTAAAAGTTTACCAGGTTGATGAATGATGTTGGTACCTTGGGAGGATTTAATTGTCACTTTTCCTTCTCAATGAAAAAGTGTTAAATGCTCTTCCCTGTTTGCAAAAAAAGATGAAAATTCACCTGCAAATGGCAGATTGGCTGTAGGCCGGGCCCTCTGTAGCAGTCAGAGCCTGTCCCACTTGAGTCTGTGTCAGTCCCAACGAGAGCCGACGGATTTTGAAATTCTTGGCAAACTCTCGTATTTCTTCCAGATTGATGCCCTCCTCACTGCTGGCGGGCTGATGAGTCTCTGTCAGAGTGGGAGGAATACATATGGTACATAAAAGTGGAATGTACATAATACTGATTTTGTGTTTGCATCAAAGGAGCAGATGGACGTACTGCTGACAAGCTGGCCCACTTTTGCTATATCGCCACAGGTGATGGGGAGCGATGAGGATGGCGAGGTGGTGCTCTTGAGTATCGACGGCTGTGGGGCTATGACAACTGGCAATTGGGTGGCAGCTGTTGCCGGTGCCTTGCGAGGGATCATGTACAAATAGGACAAATCAGAAACATTTTGCAAGGCAAAGATGCAAAGAACCGGTAAGGAAGACACAGAATCATGTGTACTTGGGTGGTTGGTTTGGAAGGTGTGGGTGTGACAGCGGGTTTGGGAAGAACAGCAGCAGAAGCTGCTACCGCGGCGGCTCCGTTCCCAACCGCGGCAAAAATCTGACCCTGGGTGTTCAGGAGTAACTGCGGGGTGACCGTCTGGACCTGCAGACCCTGGAGGGGGAGGGTCGAAGTGGCGGCCCCCCCAGCCAGGGAGGCTGGGTTCACCAGCAAAGGAAGAGTTCCTATAACCTGGGAACAGTGTAAAAAGATGTCTCATGGGTCGAACATAAGCAAAAAAAAAAAACTTCTGATTAGCACACATTAGAGAAACTGTCAAAATTGGATTTTGGGTGACATCACGAGACTGAAAAGGTATTTTTCAGGGCTCTACCAGTCATAAAGATGATACTACCATTTATAGATTTATATGAAGGCACAAAAGAAAAAGAGTCATACCACTTAATAAACTGCAAAGACGACCACAATGTGTACCACTAAAATGTTCTATACTTATGTATTTGATCCATCCTTTAACAGAGAATTTTAAGAAGGACAACATGTTGATGGAGCTTTATTCAAACCAGAGTGGAATTTTCCACCAGATATTCGGACTTAGCTCTTCATTTTAGGAAAATGACTTTACATGACCACAAAGAGACTTGAAGCACGATTTGCTGACAAAAGGTCAGACACCTTATCCATTACGACAGACGGCACATAATTGCCATGGGGTTTGTCAGGAAAATGTCCAAATCTCCCATTACACATCCCACTGTGCCAACACAACCACCCCCGCGCTATTGCACGGCTCAACTATATTAACGAAACAAAATGCATGATATCATGATAATTAATACCTGTCTTACATAAATTAATAAACTCACTATTTTAAGGGAATTAAAGACGCGCAACAAAATAGAGACTCAAACTTTTGATCCAAAGTCATACACCTTATCCATTAGGCCACGCCGTCGAGAGACAACTGTAACAGTGTTTGCCAAGTTTGTGCGTCAGTGGTCAAACTGATGACACGCATCCCTAAGCATGTGCTTATGCGCAAGAAATCGTGCCATGCCGAAATATACTCGGCCATCTGAACTGGGGCCTGGACAGGAGACAGTGCTTGAGGATGGGAAAAGATTGGCTGGTATTAGTCATTGTGGCCACAACACACTTCTCTTTTCCAGAATGAGGATGCATGCTAACTGGGCCCTGTAACACCATGCCCGCTGTCCCACAGTATGAATTGCCTAGTGTTAAGAAGTCAGTGTCAGTCATTTCTTCAAAGTGATAAAATAGCTCCAAGTGGTTTTATTACATGTCAGCTGCAGATGTTGTGAAAGCCCCATAGAAATAAAAATGGATTGTATACTACATATGGTAATGTCATTGGTACATGATGTGTTCATGCAAAGGTTTAATTCTGAGGTGTGGCAAATAAATGCTGCAACCACTCGTGAAAATATAATGGAATTTGAACTGCCCACTTAAAATTGAGTGATTAAAAGAGAAGTGGATATTATGTTTGCTGCAATTCTTTATCCTTTGTGTAATATTACAGATGAACGTCAGTGGCCTATTGTTAAGACACCTGGGAACGCTAAAATGTGGTGAAAACATGAATAAAGTTTCGCCACTTAAAAAAAAAAAAAAAACTGTTGTATCCCCTGATTGAGGTCCAGACCAACCTGTCCTTGTGTGGTGGTCAGGATCTGACTGGTGATGCCTGCCATGTTGGACATGGCATTGGTGATAATGGGACTGGAGGTGAGGGAACTCAGAAACTGGGTCTGCGCTCCTAGCGATGCAGCGTTGATCTGAGCAGAAGAACATGATAATTTGAATGAACAACAGAAAAGTAAAGGGACGCGCAATAGTTAGACCTAAATCTCGGTTTCGACTTCCATACAAGCGCGGGATTGATCGCGAGTCCTGCCATGCAAGGTTGCTGCAAGGCTGTTTGCACCGGCTGTATGGAACCTGCTGGAGGCTGGAACACCGCCTGCGTGCTGGTTTGTAGCGGAGGCTGAACTGAATTTAGAACCGTCGCAGCTGTGGGGGAAAATGACCAAGAGATAAGTCAAAAAGATTATGGCCAAAATGATCATCACAATTATTTTGGTCCATATTGTAATCATGATTATTGCCGGTATTCATCATGTTCGGGAAAATATCTAGTACAGTGAAACGCCTCTACAACGAACCTACATGGGCGAAAATACCCCCTAGTGTGAAAAAAATTTTCATGCATGAAAGCCTTTCCCACTTTTCCGCTGCCCCTACAACGAAAAGTCCCCCTGTTCCATTATACGAAATCTTTTTCTCTGCTCTTGCCTCGCAACGAGATTCACTACAACGAAAACAAGCCTTCCGCAAAAGTCTAATCCAACCTCAGCATGCCACAGCGACCTCTACTGCTTCGTTCGGAAACGGCAACAGCAACCACCACACTGGTTTACACATGCGCAGTAGTACAGGAAGTATTTGTTTCAGACGCAGCATGAACGTCGCATTGCTAAAATGGCGACAAAACGGACCTTTACATACCAAGGAGTTAAGAAAAGAAAAGCTTTAACGCTTGAAGACACGATAAAGGTAATAAAAATAAAAGATGGAGGAAGCAAAATAAAAGACATTATGCAATAAATTGATGTAAGTGAAAGTAAATGCTGATCGTAAATTCTTTCCCTTTTTTTCTTTCTACGCTGCCTATATGAAGTGTCATATAAGTGTATGCTCATTCTTATGCATTATCGGAATAAAAATAAAGTACACATACACCTTTTTTGTGTGTGTTTGTGTTTACGTCTGAGATAAATTTTGCTACAATGAAAAGTCCCCTGTTGTGAAAAATTTCTTGCTGCAAACATGATTTTGTTGTAGAGGAGTTTCACTGTACTATTACTACTACTTTCCAACAAACAATATGTTAACACTTTTCAGGGCAAAATGAAACTTGGCCCACAATATCAAAGCATCAGAGTTGGTGTGGACTCACATGCACCATTCAAATCTTAGTTGGCAACATTATCATTGTCGACTGTCATGATGATCATTACCTTGAAGCCCAGCAAAGGGCAGCTTAAGGAGGTTTGCCGGCTGGGTGGCGGCGGCGGCGGCAAGTCCAGACAGAGTGGCCACATTGGTGGTAGGCAGGGTGAGAACAGCCAAACCCCCCTGGCCACCGATGGAGCCTGCCATACTGATAGGGATGAGCAGGGGCTGGCCCAGGGAGCCTGTCTGGGCCAACATGCCAGTCATCAGGGTGGCCAGATTTTCTTGTGACAAAACCTGTGTGGTAAAATAGCACAATAACTCAGATGATGTCAGGACACTCCTTAAGCCCTGCACACTGTAAAAAAATACATAGCTTGTAAATTTGGGGGCTAAAAAAGTAATCTGAGTTGGAACAATTGTATACGCGTAAGCGCGTGCGCAAGGGTGCACGTGCACGTGGGAGTGTGTATGCGTGCAGTTATGTTAGGGATCAACCTTTCCTTCGTAAATTCTTGACCATGTTAAAAATTTGTAGTGTAAATTGTGAACGTCTAAAGCCATACCTGCGGACAAGCTTGCACAGTGACGGGCACAGTGGCCGCGGGAGGTTGAGGCAAGGACACGCTGATGGGCAGAATCGGACTGAGGCTTTGGACGGCATCGGATGGCGCCTCGACTGATGCCGCTTGCTGTTTGCCAGCTACTGCAGGAACACAGCGGGTGAGGTGGCAAGGCTGCCGCATCTCATTGACGCGCAAATTGAAAATCAAAAGTGTGGCTTCAGCTTACCGACTCCCCCTGTGTTCTGGGGTCCGGCATGGGCATCCCGTGGCCGGTTACCCTCAGGTCGGGCCCCTGCTTCCTCTGTTTTGCCCTCACTACTCTTCCCTTCTTGCACCGATGAAGGCAGAGACGCATCAACCTCAACCTCTAGCACACGTATCGTCTCATGGCCAGACATCACGATGACCTGAAGACGAAGGGACAATCTAGTATGAAACTGAAGACTGATGCACATTTTATTCTGTTCCACTGATCTTTCAAAATTCTGAGACAGACAAACTACAAAGCTCATTCACAGTTAGCACCCACGTGAGACCATTATGCTGCATTCAAGAGAGGCTGGAAAGTTGCAAATATCACACTTGGAGCTTACAAGGTTTAACCTGAAAGGATTCCAGTTGAAGATAAATGGATGACAACGGCAACAAGCAGTGGACCGCTCAAGGCAAATTTTCAGCTGCCATACAACTCAAGAGTTGGGAGAAATTTGGGGGAGGAAATAAGCCTCTTAAATCTCATCGTCATTGTGGAATTGAACAAGTAAAACTTAATGCAGTGATCTTATATCAATTTAGAATTATTAACAATCAGTCACTCCATCAATTGACTATGATGCCCATCACTGGTTTCCAAGTGTGTAAAACCGACTGGAAGGAATTGTCTCATGCTGAACTCAATTTACAACAACAGCACTCCATCTGACTTTGCGAAACTTGATTTGGTACAATTTGGGCTGCGTTTTCTTCTGAGAAGTTCCATCCAGACTAAACCACAAATTTGATTTCAAGGAAACACAAATGTGAAAGGTTGAGATGTGAGATGAATGGAGAACAAGGTGGAGAGAGAGAGAGCGAGAGAGAGACAGACAGACAGAGAGAGAGAGAGAGAGAGAGAGAGAGAGAGAGAGAGAGAGGGAGAGAGAGAG